GGGAGATTATGCAAGTATCTTCGTCCGGAGTAAGCGATGGTATGGTATAGCGTGGGTTGGGAAATGGGAAAGTGGGGGTGGGTGGCAGCTTTGTGTGTGTGAGTATGTGTGAGTGCGTGTGCGCGCGTGTGTGTGTGTAGGTGTAGGTGAGTGTATAAATCATAAGCAGCGACGTGGTCCGGTAAAAAATTTATAAGGTTAAGAGTGGCTTGTATGGAATGCGAGGATATTGCGGGATAGAGAGAGAGAGAGAGAGAGAGAGAGAGAGAGAGAGAGAGAGAGAAGGTGGGGGGGGGGAGAGGCAGGCCTGTCGTGCAATAGATTTTTCATCCTTGCATGACGTGTTGCATGTCATTCTAATGCGGCACACCGAAAAAGAGGGGGCGGGAGAGGGAGAAGTAGTTGGGGTGGAGGGGGTGTTGTGGAAGGGGGAATGAAACAGGAGCAAAAGGGGGGAGAGCGCTGCCTGCGCTGCCTCAGCACATTGCGGGCTGCGGCCTGAAGCTGAAGGCTCAGATCGGAGAGATAAGACTCCCCTCCGCCCCGCCCGCCTGATCCCGATCCCCGTCGCGATACGCTCCCCGCCGCCGCCGTGGTCTGCAGCAGACGACGTAGCAGACGACACATGCATCACGAGCTGTGTCGTCGGGGATTATTTCCCCCCGAGCGCCTCCTCAAGGCGCGCCCGCCCAACGACTCGCTGGAAACACCACCGTCGTTTGTTCCCTTGCACCCCATTATGCACGTGTGCTTCGTTTCTCCTTCTCTCTGCGCCTCTCCATCTACTCAGCCGGCCCATCTTCGCCCTGACCCTCTTGAACCTGCAACTCCTGCTCCCCGACCTTCCTCCTCCTCCCCCCGCCCCGCGCTGCTAAGACCCCCGCCTGGGGCCGCTCCAGCGAACTGCTAACAACTCCCTCCAGTAGCCAACTTGTCGCGGCCGTCGAGGTGTCCGCGCCCCGCCGTGGGAGGTTTAGGCCCCCCAGTCAGGGAACGCCCCTCGGAACGCCATGGTCCGCCACGCCACGCCCCGCCCCGCCCCGTCCTGCCTTCTTGCTCTGGAGCCCAAAAGGTAGCACGCCAAGTTCAAGGGGGCTTCAAAGTTTCCCCGCCGGCCCCCCACCCCTTCGGCCCCGCCAGCCGAGCGGGTCCAGGGAGGTCACGCCGAGAGCCCCGGGCCTCGCCACGCCCTACCCCACCACGCCCTACCCCGTCACGCCCTACTCAGCCCCGCCCCGCCGCACAGCGCAGCTCCATGTAAACATTTTCCGCCGCCATGAATTATCTTGGCACGCCACACTTTTGCGGAAATTAGATCGCAAGTAATTGGGTCGGTCGAGCTGAATGCGCGGCTGCTGCAGACTCTGGCCTGGCACCGCCGCGTCACAGAGTGTACAACCCGCCACGCCACGCCCTGCTACGCTCCGCCACCCCATCCCGCCCCCGCCCCAA